TGTCTGTGTGTCTGTGTGTCTGTGTGTCTGTGTGTCTGTGTGTCTGTTGACATTTTAGTTTTCTTCTCGCTCCCAGGGAAGAGGTGCAGGAAAACTGTGTGCAATGGCGAAAGAAGTCACGGTTCATGTGCAAGATGAGCGCCAGCTCAGCCACGGGGGTCTTGGACCCCAGCATCTGCAGAGTGTCCGTCCGGAAGGTTTGTGAGACCACTCTCTTCCCCCTGCAATCACTATCGTAGAACTGAACACCATTTCCAGTGTCTCCCCTCTCTCTCTCTCCTGCCAGCCATCCAGCCCCTTGCCCTTCCTGCATTTCTTCTGTGCTTGTTACATTTACATTTATTTGTTTTCCCCCCCCCTCCCCCATTCGTAAATTTCCATCAATGTTCTTCCCAAAATCCACCTCCCCCAACCCCGGCATGCCAGGCCTGCATAAAGAGCTCGCTGAGCTAGTGGCTACCAGTTCTTTTCTTGGGGTTCAATTAAGTAGCCCTTTCGTATGGATTGGTGCCTGTTGCTATGTCTGATCTAAGGCTATAATGATTACATTTATGGTGTCCTGAATGTAAAGGATGTTTTAAATTGTGCTTTGGCAGAGCCGGGTGTTTGTTTGGAGGTGTTGGTGCCTTGGGTGTGTCTGTTCCTCTTCAGAATCTATCTCCCCTGGAGGGGAGCCTCAGAGCAAGGGCTCTGTGAGGGGATGTGAGCGGTATTGAAAGCTCTCATTTATTCACTCTTCACTCTTCATTGATCAGGGGCCTGCTGTGCTGCCAGGCCTGGTTCTTCTCCTCCTCCTCCTCTCCACCTCTTTCCCCCACCCTACTCCCGCAACCGTCCAGAGAGTCTCTGCGGCCCATAGGAGATCAAGGGTTTTATTTGCATTAATTTATTTTTTATTTATTTTATTTTTTTTCTACTTCGCGCTCTCACATGCTCTTTCTCCTTCCTCCCTTCTCTCCCTTTTTTCTCTTTGTCCACCCTTCCTCCTTCCCCATCGCTTCACTTCACCCATCCCTTTCTTCCCCCCCCCCCCTTTCTTTTCCTCTTCTCCTTTGCCCCTTCTTCCCACCCCTCCACCTCTACCTGCCCCACCTCTTGCTCCTCCAACCCCACCCCCCCTTTCTCTCTCTTTTTTTAAAAGAAAAGTCCCATATGGGTCACTAATGTCCCCTTTTTTTTTCAAGGGATGGAAATCTGCCATCCTTACCCAGTCTGACTCCAGCCTCCCAGCAATGCCCTTGCTGTCCCCCTGGAAGGGCTGAGAGAGCCCCTCAGTTGTATCAAACCTGCCAGGGGCCTGGTAGACACTGACTGTTCAGGGCCATCTTCTCAAGGGTAAATGGTGTTGGGAGGGGGTGGCGTTTGAAGCAATAAATGCTGGCCTTGCCTATGATACCCACAGAATAAACTTGGAAACTCACTAACGTGTTATCTTGCCTCTCCCTAGGAGCTGAAGGGCGGGAAATCTTTTGTGAAGGTGAGTGAGATTTTCAGTCATTATCTGATCTACCACTGGGGGCTCAGACCCTGGGTCTGATCACTGGTTTTAGACTGGCAGGGCTGGCACTTTGGGGTTCGGGAGATGGGGACGTGGTGGGATGAAAGGAAGGAGTGTGTGTATAATCAAGTGTGGTGGTAGGTGTATGAGGCTAGTGGTTAGTGCCTTTGCCCCACACTTTGGAGGAGAAGCGTTGGGAAATGTGGACCTGGAAAGGGACAGAGGGACTGGAGCAAGTTCGTTGGGCGACAGGAGACGTTGGTTTGAATGGTAATGGGGGAAATGGGAGAGGTCGGGCTGTGTGTCTCTCCCATCAAAGGGTTGGAATCAGATTGAGGTACAGTGTCCTTGTAATATGGCCCATCCGCTCGTAGAGTCAGAGTCACACAGCACGGAAACAGTCCCTTCAGCCTGACTCATCTGTACCAACTAAACTGAACTAGTCCCATTTGCCTGCATTTGGCCTATATCCCTGTAAACCTTTCCTATCCATGTGCCTGTCCAAATATCTTTTAAATGTCACTCCAGACAGTTTGTTTCCCCATGGCCTATCTCTGCATGTTCATTTTGTTTGAGGGCTACCGTTGAGTATTGGATTGGCAAAAGGAGAATAAGTGGTTTGGTCTTCTCAAATGACACAAATTTCTTTAAGGAGAAGACTGATGACTGGAGTGTGAACATTACATTAAATTACATTATACTCTGCAAAGACTGCTGAACTTTTTTGGCTTTATTCCTTTTTATTTTTCTAGTTTATATTATGAAGGGCTTTAATGTTAACTATTACCTTTATTTCTTTCTTCTCTACTTATTCTGTGAAGGTCTGTAATACTTAACTTTTTTTTTGTTTTTTTAACCTATTTTGTAGATCGGTGTCTTTGTGTGTGTGTGGTGCCGTTAGACACTTTTCACTGTCCTCCTGTCCTTGAGTACACGTGACAATAAAAAAACTAAATCTAAAATCACAAACATCGAAAATAGGAGCAGGAGTTGGCCATTCGGCCCTTCGACCCTGTTCCCGCTTTCTCACCCACACCCCTTTGTTCCTCTTTAACTCCACGAACTACATCCGACTCCTCCTTGAGAACATTCACTGTTTTGGCCTCAAACGCTTTCTGTGGTAGAGAATTCCACAGGCTCCGCTCTGTCTGGGTGAAGATATTTCTCCTCATCTCAGTCCTCAACGGCCCACGCCTGTAACTTGAAATTGTGACCCCCGGCCCTGGACTCTCCCAGACGTTGGGAACGTTCTTCCTGCGTTTTAGTCTGGTCCTCTTAGAGTTTAACAGGCTTCCCACCTCGCCTCTCCTGATTAAACTATTGGTTTTTTTTTTAAAAACTTTTCATCCTTTGAGTCTGCGTCTTGGGCTTTCAGATACTTCTGACTTTGTTTATACAAGTAAATAATTGATGTCCCCTTTACTGTCAGCCATGAGTCGTGTAAGCCAGGCCATCCCTGTACCAGGTATTTGAGGAGATTAGCCCTGTCATTACTATTTTGATGTGTATCAGATCATGCTGGTGGCTCCTCTTGCTGTTATGGGGCAAACCATTCAGATTCAGCACGGTGGCTCAGTGGTTAGCACTGCTGCCTCACAGTGCCAGGCGACTGTGTGCACGTTCTCCCTGTGTCTGCGTGGGTTTCCTCTGGCTGCTCTGGTTTCCTCCCACAGTCTAAAGATGTGCAGGTTAGGTGGATTGGCCATGCTAAATTGCCCCGTGGTGTTCAGGGATGTGTAGATTAGGTGGGTTAAAGGGGGAATGGGTCTGGGTGGGAACTTGTCGGGCTGAAGGGCCTGTTTCCACACTGTAGAGATTCTATGATCTTTTCACATGCCTGAACTCCCTCTCTCACGCCTGGTAATCTGGGACCTGGAAGTATATAAATCCGAAAGAACTGCGGATGCTGTAGATCGGGAACAAAAACAAAGTTGCTGGAAAAGCTCAGCAGGTCTGAGGAAGGGTCACCGGACCCGAAGCGTTAACTTTGTTTTTTTCCCTTCACAGGTGCTGCCGAAATTGCTGAGCTTTTCCAGCAACGTGGAAGTGTATGGTGGGGTCTAGTTTGAGGGGGCACTGAATGGTTATTTGGATAAAGGTGTTTGTGGGGGGTGGGGGGGGAGGGGTTGTGGAAGGTGAAATAGGGTGTGGAGGTTGGCACAAGGTAATGATTTCCTCCCCACCCCCAATTTGAGGAGCTGGTGAACTGCTGCTTCGTCACGCTCCTGTGCGCTTGAGGTTTTTATTTTAAATCGAATTCCAAAAACAGAGAAAATAGGAGCAGGAGTAAGTCCTTTCCTTTCGGCCGTCTTTGAGCCTGCTCTGCCCTTTTTTTGTGACTGTTGATCCAATTGAGTCGCTCATTCCCCACCTTCATCCCCCATATCCTTCAGCCCCAGGTGCCATATCCAAACCCTTCTTGGTGTTTTGGCCTTGGGTGAATTCCACCGGCTCGTTGCTCCGGGTGAAGGAATTTCTCACTCCTAAATAGTTTACGCTGTATCCTTAGACGGTGACCCCTGGCTGTGGACTCCCCCTACTGGAATAGCCCTTGTGCATCTGCCCTGTCTGGTCTTGTTAGAATTTTGCAGGTTCCTCATGAGATCTATCTCTCTCTCTCTCTCTGTCTCTGTCTCTCTTCTGAACTGCAGTGGAAACGGTCCTAACCGAGTCAACCTGTCCTCGTCCGTAAGTCCTGGTCCTGGTCCTGATCCCAGGGATCGGATTACTGCAGCACTTACTCCAGAAGATCCTCCCTCCAGCAATGTTAACTAACCACTGGGCCACCTCCAAATCCTAGACTTGACACGATTGACAATCTGTCCCATTCCTGCTCCTATGATGCTGCTTGGCCTGCTGTGTTCATCCAGCTCTGCACCTTGGATTGTCTCGGATTCTCCAGCATCTGCAGTTCCTACTATCTCTGCACACTTGGCCATCTGTTTCTCTCCCCACCACCGCCGCCCCCCCCCCCAACCCCCCCAACCTGTGCCAGTCTGCAACTCTTTCCCCCCCAGCCGCATCCAGTTCCCTGTTGCTGATCTATAATTTTTGTTTCCAATCCTCCCGAACTGCAGTTGGGATTTGTTGACCTGAACCTGGCGGAGTTTGCAGGATCGGGTTCCACTGTTCGCTGTTACATCCTGGAGGGTTACGACACCAAGAACACGAGGCAGGATAACTCCATCCTGAAGGTAGTTGTCATGGGGGTAGGGGTGGGGGTTGGGGGGTGAGGAGTGGGAGCGCAGTCAGCAGGAAGGTGGATGAGGGGATGGGGAGGGGGGGGGGGGGGGTTATTGGAGATGAGATGGGTTCCCTTCTTTCTCACCACCATGTCCCTCCACACCTCCATCGAGCCTCCGTTGCCACAGTGAAGGCCCCCCTCCTGAGGCAGTTCGTGGGATGAGGGTCCAGGCCGAAGGGAGTGCAGCTACTAACTGAATGAGATCTGTTGTCTTTACCTGGCCTGGCCTCTGGGGGGGTGGCTTCAGACCCATGGCAGCATTAAGTTGCCCACTGGGCAATTGGGTCATTTTATTTGAGGGTGCGGGGAGCCACAGTGGTTTATACATTCATTCACTGCCAGGCTAGTATTTATCGCCCATCCCTAATTGCCCAGCGGCCACTGAAGAACCAACCACATAGCTTTGTGGTTCTGGAGTCACAGGTAGGCCAGACTGGGGTAAGGAAGGCAGATTTCCTCACTCTTGCTCTAAGAAACTTCAGTGAATCAGATGGGGTTTTCCAACAATGTTGTAATTACCAAGATTTTATTTAAACTTCAAACTTCAACCCCCTGTCCTGGTGGGGTTTGAACCCACGTCCCTCAGTCGTCTGTCCGTCTGTCTGTCTATCCCTCAGACGGCTGTCTACGAGCAAATTACTGCCAATGCTAGAATTTGTACTTCAGCCCTGAGAGACACCTCGACTTGAAACCTCAGCTTGTTCTCGTTCCATGTTTGCTGTGTGGCTCTCTCAGACAGGTGACCCACACAGTCCCACCGCCACCCCCTGGGGACCCCAGTTTCTTGGAACGATCCTGCTGTTTGCCCAGGACCTGGAGAATGAATCCCATCCCATCCCGCAGATCCTTGGGAGAAGACAGGGCACTAAGGAGTGTGACTGTGACCCAAAATTCAGATTAGCAGAACTCTCCCCTGAAATTCCTTGGGCCTGTGTGTGTACTGACTGACTGACTGACCTCTTTTTATTTCTCTAACCCTTCCCCCACACCATTTCTTGTGCCATCTCTCCCCAGGTATCCATCAGTCTACAGCTGTTATCCGGCGATCCCTGTTTTAAGACGTGAGTACTTGCCGAATGTCGGATGCTTTTTCCTTCCTCCCTCCTTTCCAGGATCTGGTGTTCCTTTTCTTTTCGCTTCAGAAATCACCTTCCAAGTTGCGATGCCTCTCATCCCTGCCACCAACCCCTCACCAATTAGCTGCGATCTTATTGAATTGGCAGGGCAGGTTGGATGGGCCGAGTGGCCTACTTCACTTTGCATACGCCACATGCACGCCAATGTTTGACCCCAGGGGAAACAGTGTCTCTTCGTGTTTTCTGACTTTTTATTCTTGTTGCCCATCCTATTCGGCAGCAATGCGATGTTTGACTGTCCGACAATCGGCGGATCGCTGAGCTGTCCTTGCGTCCTCCCCTGTTGACGATTTTAAGTAGTTTAAGGGCGGCAGCAGCAGTGAGAATTGGTCCGCATTAGGCTGATCCCATGCTCGAACCATGTCCCTTACAGTCTGGTCTCTGCCTGGCTTTGTGTAGCTCCTTCCCTCCCTTCCCAGAGGCCCCTTGGGCAGCAATCTTCTTGTTAACGTTCAGAGTCAGTTTGATGGGTCCCCCAAACTGCTAGATTTTGCAAGGTGCGCCTCTCTCTCTGTCAGCCCATCACACGCAAGTCAAATAGGGTCCAACTTAATTGCCAAAGCTCCACCTCACTCTGATGCGTCTGCCTTCCCTTTGCTCCTGCCCGCTCTGCCACCTTTTTAACGTGGTGTCACTGGCAGTGCTGCACTCCTGCAGGCCTCCCAGGTGAGAGACCCCTCATTGCAACCTTTCCTCAGTCTCCCTTTTCGGCTCTTCTGCTTGAAGGAATACAGCCCCATGCTTCTCCACAAAGCCTCAATGCATCGCTGACCCTCTGCCGTGCCCTCTCCAACGTCTTGACGCCCCTTTCCTAAGTTGTTTTGTCTCAAATTGAGTGCACTCATCCCACCAAGGATGGGTCAGCATTTTATAAGCGTAGGGTATGTGGCAATGCCATTTCATTTTTTTTTAAGGAAATTGCTTGTCCTGATACGTTCAAGATTCTTACACACTGCGCTCTCTCTAGCATGTAACTTTTTTGCTTTGAATTAGCTGATATAGTTTGTAATGGGATTTGCCAACAAGCTGGTGCTAACTGGTGTGGCGGCCATTTTACTTCCTTGGCCAATTGTGGCCAAGGGGTTGCAAGGTTGCCTTTTCACTTGCCTGTGGCTTTTATTTAAAAACCAAAATAAAAAATGGTTTTCAAACTCTCTCTCTTTTCTCCCCGCAGGCCACCCTCCACGGCCCAGCCCATTGAGGTCCTGGGGCAGCAGGATTCCCTGGCTCCAGACTGCAAAGGGGATGACGGGAAAGGGAGCCCCATATCCGGGGGCAGCTCTTCCAAATTGTCGAGGTGCAGGTCCTTCCTGGCCGCCGGTAAGGACGCTCAGGGCGAGTTGCTTGGCCTCCCCGCCCAAACCAAACCCTTAAGCCATGTGCAGGTTCGGGACTAGTTAGCTGCTGACCTGGTGCAAAAGGTCAGGGGTCACGGGTAGCGCCCTCACCCCTGCCCCTAGAGTGAGCACAATTGTGGGTTTCCCCTTGGAGGGCTCATCGTAAGGAGAAGAGGTTTAAAGGGATTGATACATCCCAGAGGATGGTGGGTCTTTGGAATTCGCTCCCTGAAAAGATGATCGAGCCGTCAAGACGTTTTAAGAACTAATTTAAGTGAGCCGGAGAAATGCCATGCTAAGTGCTGGAAAATGGGAATTCACCTTGGGGAAATGTGCTTGATGCCTGGTGTCGATTGTGACGGGCTGAAGGGCCTCTTTCCGTGCTATTAAAGTTCTGACTCTAACCTCTGTGACATAGCAGCGGAAGTAGGCCGTTCAGCCCATCACAATCAACACCATCTAATTATCCTGAATCCACTTTCTCCCCCTACACCCTAATGATAACCCTCGGTTTTTTGTTTTCCCCCTCCCCGTCAAAAATCTGTCTATCACAGCCTTCGATATACTTAACGACTGAGCCTCAACAGCCTTCTGCTCTCTACTGCCCTCTGAGAGAAGAAATTCCCCCTCATTTCTCTTGTGAACCCCCCCTGCCAACCCTGAGACGATGCCACCTGGCTCTAGACTCTCTCTCAAAGGAGAAAACAAACCTTTCTCCATCTCCCCAGTCAAGTTCTTTAAGCAGCTTGCATGTTTTGATAAGGTCGCCTCTCATTCCAATGACTACAGGCCCAAACTACTCAACCTCCCCTCCTAAGACACTCCTTCCATACCTGGGATCAATGGAGTAGAACCTTCTCTGGACCACCTTCATTGCCATTTATATCTTTTCTTGGCTACGGGGCCCAAATGTATCTGTATTCTCTGGCTGTTCCATTGCCTGTTGAGTGCTCTATGGTTGTGGGAGGTGCTCACCCAGTTAAATCCGTGCTCTTATTCCCTTTTTTTCCCCAAAGTGGGGATGGTGGAGGATTCGGAAAACACGCCCCATGCTGCTCCCGAGGAAGTGATCCGGAAAAGGCATTCCCGGAATTCCAGCGCCTCCAGCCAAGCCTCGAAGTTTTCAGGTGAGCAGCTGTTTGCCCTGGGGAGACAGGCAGGGGGCCTGCTGCCCATTTGTACCTGTACCAGCCTTGCCCCGTGGGTGTCAGCTCTAGTCTGAACAGTGCGTAGTTTTTGGACTGTGTAGGGCATCGCAACGGAGCAGCAATTCCATTGTCCAGAAACCACCTTCCCCCAGAGGATAACAGGGAAGCAGTGTGGGATGGGATCCTCGATGTGCTTAACTGGTGGTAACGTCCCTGGGGAGAGGCGCGTGATGGGCTGTAATAATCCTGCATCTTTACCGATGGCGGTTTGGCTAAAATTGCTTTCCATTCTCCTACCCTGCTGCCTCCCAGTGCCATTGTCGCCACCAGTGCTCCAGCTGAGTCTCTGTGGATGGGGGTTTACGGGGCCTGTTATTGTACAAGGTCGTGGTTCTGAAAGAGATGCCGGGGTTACATTAAGCTCCAGCCAATCGGATGAGGCTGCCTTTGGCTGGAGAGTCAGGCAGAGCCCCTGGCAGAGACAAAGCGTCCTTGAGGGAGTTCTCTTTAACCGGTCAGGTCCCTCTATGACCAATTGCGTCTTGTGTAAGACTGGATTTTGGGAAGGAGTTGGATGTAGTTCTTGGGCTTAAAAAGGATCGAAGGGTATTGGGAGGGGGTTGGGGGGAAAGAGAAAGCAGGTGTTGGGTGTGGAGTTGGACAGTGCAATGGGAGAGGATTTTCTAAGGCTGAATGGCCTACTCGTCCTACTGTCTGTGATTTCTATGGTTTGGAATACCACCCCTTGTTCAGACACACTGATCTCTTCTTCACTGATGGGAACACAGGCCCCTAGACCCAGTGCAGGAATGTGTCTGCTATTAGGGATAGGTGACGTGGAGACCAGTGCGGTGGGGGGGTAGTGCGTTCGATGCTCTGTTACTAACCCGGAGTCTCCCTCTCCTTCCATTCCTCGCCCTCTGGCAGGTTACAGCTCCGAGTGCTCGCCCTCGGTCTCCCACCTCGAGCTGACCCATCGCCGGGAAGGCTCATCCGGAAGTAGCTGCCTGTCGTCTGACCTCGGGAGCATGGCCGATATCCGGGATGGAGGCCGGGACCTCAGTCCGGAGAAACCAGCCATGCCCTTTAGACCGGCTCTGCGCTCGGAGCGCCCCTCACGGTAGGTGCGGTGTCGCGGGGGCATTCCGCTTTGGGTACTGCCCCTTTCCCTCATTCCTGGGCAGGTCTGCCTGGGTAGCTCGGTGGGGAATCGTTCTCCCCTCTTCCCCTGTCGGGAACGCCCAGGTTCGAGCCCTGAGCATGGAAATCTGGGCTGTAGCACCGAGGGTGCTGCAGTGTCAAAAGTGCCATGCTCCCAATGAGGCTGTTTCGAGGGTCTGACCCAGCCAGTCACAGAGCATGAGGAGGGCATCCATCTGACCTCCACCCCATCCAGGTTTTGTTTTTCTTAACATAACAGCGAGCTGCTGCATAAAAGACTGATCCAGAAAGTTAGATCCTTTGGTGGGGCGGGGGGGCTGGGTGGTGGTGAAGGGTAGAGTATTGGCTTGGATAGAGGATTGGCTGGCTGACAGACAGAAAACAAAGGGTTGGGATAAATGAGTCCTTCTCTCGATGGAGTACTGTAACTAGTGGTATGCCTCAGGGTTCGGTTTCTTGCACCTCAACTATTTACAAGCTGTTCCTGCTTGAGATCATTTATATAGAGTGTAACATAGCAAAGTTTGCACATGATACCGAAGTAAGTGGGAAAGCAGGCTGTGATGAGGAGATAAAGCTTACAGGCTGATATTGATAGGTGAGAATGGACCAGAATCTAGTAGATGAAGTTTAATGTGGATAAGTGCGAGTTTGCCCAATTTGGCCAGAAAAACAAAAGGACAAATTATTATTTAAGTGGGAAGCAGATTCAGTGTGTCAGTGCAGAGGGATCTGGGCATCCTTGTGCCTGGATCTGCACGTGCGGCACGTAATAAGAAAGGCACATGGAAGCCTGGAATTAATTGCAAAAGGACTGGATTGTGAAAGTGACGTGTTGTTACCAAATTATCTATGGCGCTGGGTGTGGCCACACCTGAAATATTGTCGAGTCTTAGTCTCCTTTTACTTGAGGAAGGGTATGATGGCACTGGGAGGAGGTTCACCAGGTTGATTCCGGGGATGAGAGGGCTGTCAGATGAGGAGGAGCAGTCGAACAGCTCGGGCTCGGGCTTGCACTTTCCAGAGTTCAGCGGAATGAGGGAGAGATCTGACTGAGGTGTATAACATGTGAAAGGGTAGGGGAGGGTGCGAGGGAAGAGGGGTTGATAAGGTGGACGTTGCATACATGCACCCCCTTGTTGTGTTGAGCAAGAGGTCATGGATGTAGAGTGAGAGGAGGGTAGGCTCAAAGCTGAGATGAGGAGAAACTACTTCTCTCTGAAGGTTGTGAATTTAGTGCAACTCGCTGCCCCAGAGTGCAGTGGAGGCAAAATCAAGGAAGGAGTGGATGGGGGTTTCTGATGGAAAGTGGGATGAAGGGCTACGGGGAGCAGGCAGGAGAGCGGAGGTGAGAACACGGTAAGGTCAGCTGTGATCGTGTTAAGTGGTGGGCTGGGTTTGAGGGGCCGAATGGCCTGCAGAGCAGCGAGAGGCACTTTTTTTTGTTTAGCCAAAGGTAGGTGAGCACAGCGACTGGTGTTGGATGGTCGGGCTTCACTGCTCCCTCTTGTTGCCGCAGGCGGAAGAACGAAGCAGCGGAGAGCAGGCCCACGCGAGTGGACGACACGCGAGTGGACGCGGACGACATCGTAGAGGAGATTGTCCGGAGCCAAGACTTCAGCCAGTCCAGCAACACGGAGGGTGAGGGATGGGGCAGACGGGGGGTGGTGTGGGGTGTGCAGTCACATGGTGCCTGTGCCGCGTGTGAGTTTTGCAAAGCCTGGGCATTTGTGCCCCCCCCCTTTTTTTAATTTTTTAAAAAGGCGTCACATAAATGCACATTGTTGTAGTTTAGCCCGCAGCCTCAGTTTCAAGGCCAGAAGCTGACACTCTCTCTCTCTCTGTGTTTCTGTTTTTTGCAGACAGCGGGTTGCAGCTGTACGTGGGCCGAGATGGGACTATCAGACTGGGTGGCCTGCAGAGCGAGAACAGGTAAAGGAGGAAGCAGGGAGACTGCTTTTGAGGTGACTGTGTGGCTTGGAGCTAGGGCAGCCTCCCCTTACCAACACCCCACCCCACCCCCCCCCTCCACCGGCGCCACCTTGCCCACCCTGCCCTGATTGAAATGTAGGAGTTCAAGCCCAACTCCATCAAAGACCTATACACACTCTGAGAACACTGCGTACTGACACAGTGAGGTGGTTTCATCTAAGACCATAAGAAATTGGAGTGCAGAAGGCCATTCAGCCCCTGAAGCCTGCTCTGCTGTTTGTTTGATCTGACATTCCTCACTTCCATTTTTCTGCCCTTGTCCTGTAACCTTTGATTTCCTGACTGATCAAGAATCTTATCTATTTATGTATCTCAGCCTTAAGTATACACAAGGACTCTGCCACAGCTCTCTGTGGCGAGGAATTCCAAAGACACTCAACCCTCTGACAGGAAAATCTCCTCCTTGTCTCAGTCTGAAATTGGCACCCCTTTATACTGAGCCTATGCCTTATGGTCCTAGACCCTCCCATGAGGGGAAACATCGTCTCAACCTTTACCCTGTCAAGCCCCTTAAGAATCCTCAATGTGATCACCTTCCATTTTTCCAAATTGAGCAGAATTCCAACCTGTTTAGACTTAGCTCCTTAAGACAATCCCTCCACACCAAGGTACACTTTCTGATCTGCCACCTCCTGCCCCCTTCAGGTGGATGTGAAATATTTACCGAGCTATCTCGAAGAGCAACACTGGAGATCTCCCTTAATGGATACCCATCCCTTCGCCCGATGTTCCCTCTTTAATTTAAAAAAAAATCCCCGTTATCTGAGAGTTTGCTCTAAAGAAATTGGCCCCCATCGTTTACCTCTGTTACCATTTGAGGATAATTTTGCTTCCTCCTGAGATGCTGTTAGTTGGGATACAAACATAGCAAATGAATTGTTTTAAAGTAAAGAGAATAGGGAAAGGTGGATGTGAATGTTTTTCCTGCATTGGAACAAGTGTTTTGTTTAACTTATTGTTATCACATGTAACGAGATACAGTGAAAAGTATTGAGTGCTATGCAGACACTTTGTATGGTACAATCTATCAGCGTAGCAGAATGGAGTGCACAATAGTGTTGTAGACGGAGAGATCAGAATTAGCGTTTGAGATCTGTTCTTGAATCTATTTTGTACGTGTAGTCAAACTTTTATATCTTCTGCCTGACGGATGCGGGTGGAAGAGAGTGGGTGGGGGTGGGGGGGGGGGGGGGGGGGGGG